AAGCCCAACAACAAAACCCCCCCCCCCCAAAAAAAAAAAAAAACCCAAAAAACAAAAAAAAAAAAACAAGCAATGGAAGGAGGCAAGGAAAAAAAAAGAATTTGAAGAAATAATGTCCAAAATCTTCCCAAATTTGAAGAAAACCATTAATCTACAAAAGGAAGCTCAACAAACTCCATGTATGATAAAGTCAAAGAGATACATACCTAAACATATCATAAGTGAATAGCCAAAGGACAAAGAATCTTTAAAGGAGTAAGGGAGCAATGATTCATCACATACAAGGATCCTTAAGTTTAATAGTTCACTTCTCATCAGAAACTATGGAGGACAAAGAAAGTGAGATGATATTCAAAGACCCCAGAGAAAAATAGTTCATGAAGAATTTTATATCTGGGGCCAGCAGGTGGCATGGTGGTTAGAGGCGCTGGACGCCCACCCACATGGTTGACTGTGGTTTGAGTTCTGGACCTGGAGGCTTGCTTTCTCACTTTCCCTCTTTCTCACTCTCTGTCTCTCTCTGCTCAAATTTAAAAATGAATAAATAAAGTTAAATAATTCTTTAAAAAAAAAAAAAAAAAGAAGGGAATTCTTCTTCATCAAGAAGGATTAACTTAATATTACCCAGATTAACAATTGTTGTTAGTAGACTTGTATTTTTATGAAAGAGGGAGTCCTTTCATGCTAAAATTAAAAGAATACTGGAAAGTAGATGAACTCCATGTTTTTTTTTTTTTTTTAAAGTAATAAGCACTGGTAAATGTAACTATATAGGTAAATATAAACAGTATAAGTGACTTTTTAAAATATATATTTTCCCTTGCTGCTTTAAAAGCCAACTACAAATGATGATACTTTTAGATTTGGCTAGATGTACAAATACATGAAGATGAGGCTGGCACCATAACACAGTGGTTAAGAGAGCTAGATTTTGGGACCAGCAGTTAGCGTAATGGCTATGTCGCTGAACTCCCACGTAGTCGACCGTGGTTTGAGTCCTGGACCTGGTGGCTTAAACTCACGCTGGGCACGTGTGCGTGCGTGCCCAAGATCTCGAGAGAAGAATGGAGAAGGGATTGCAGTGGGTGATTTCTTGCTTTCTGTGTCTCTCTCTCTCTCTGGAGAGTGCACACACCCTGTAGCAAAAACCTCTCCCAAAAAAGAGAGAGCTAGATTCCATATGGCTGATTGTGGTTTATACCCTGGCCCTGGCAGCCTGAAGTATACAGTGGGCACATTTTTTGCAAAATCCCAATAGGAGAAAGAAAGGGAGAAAAAACTGTGATATGACCACACTGCACTAGCGAGGGTGGGGGATTCTCTCTCTCTCTCTGGTTCGTGCATGTGCCCTCTGGCAATTAAAAAATGTGAAGACGTAATTTATAACACTTTAATCTCAAGAGGAGGAAAGAAGAAGAGGCAGAACAGAATGGCAGTATGGAAGATCAAAGTTTTCATATACTATGAAGTTATTAATCTACATTAGATTGCTTTAACTTAATAAATTTTAACCACCAGAGCAATCACTAATAATACAAAATTAAACAATGAAATTAAAATAATAAATTAAAAATACTGAACACAAAATAGGCAGTAATAAAGGGATAGAATAGTGGACATAAGATATAAAAACCAAAAATAGCTAGATGACATGTAATTCATCCCTTATCAGTAATTACATTAAAATTTAATAAACCAGAGACCAGCAGGTGGTGTAGTAGTTAAGGTGTGGGGACTCTCACAACTGATTGCAGTTCAAGTCTCATACTCAGTGACTTGAAACTCACACCAGGTTTGTGTGTGTACGTGTGTCCAAGATCCCAAGAGAAGACTGGAGAAGGGACTGTGGTGTGGCCATCCCCTCTGAGGGGTGATTTCTCG